TTAGAGTACCCAAAAGCCCCATAAAAATAAATGAGCCCGGTGAGGTAGCACATGCCTTTAATCCCAGTACTCAGGAGTGGGGAGATATGGGAGGTATTGGAGGGGAGGGAGTGGGCATGGATTTGATCAAAACACCTTATATGCATGTATGAAATTCTCAATAAAGTTTTTGTAAAAGTTAAAAAAAACAGAGTTAAAAAGGAGATACCTGCCAGGCGTGGTGGCGCACGCCTTTAATCCCAGCACTTGGGAGGCAGAGGCAGGCTCATCTTTGTGAGTTTGAGGCCATCCTGGTCTACATAATCAGTTCCAGGACAGCTGGGGCTACAAGGAGACCCTGTCTCAAAAAAAAAAAAAAAGGGAGATACCCTGAATGCTACTCTTAGAAGCCATGGGTCACTAAACAAAATCAAAGTACCAACTGTGGCCACCTCTGTATAAATTATTGGTCACACAACACGCCCAAAACAATGCAAGCTCTTGCCATTCCTCTTGGTTACCCACCAGAGCTAGATGATAAGACCCTACTACTGAAGACACCGCATCCCTTAGTTGCAACATATAGAGAAATCAAGCTGGAACTGACCTAGAAACTTCCTCCCTGCTGAATTACTTTCATAGTGACAGAAGGTATTTGGCAGGCCACTGAGAGAGAAAAGGCATCAATGGTTTTACCAGTTGTGAACACTATGAACTTTAGTATCAACCTGTCAGGCAAGATGTGTCCACCAATGAAACAGTGGCATAGGGGTAAGCAACCACTCTGTGCTTGGATTTGAGGCCTGCTTCACAAAAGAATATATGCTTGATACTATAAACCCAGTTAGAAGCATGTGGCTAGGGAAGTTACAGGCCCTATGGGAGAACTTACTACTGTTAGACATCAAATCAAACTTTCTAAATATCTATGTTTTTACTCATAGACAAATGTTACCCTTAGTCTCAATCAGAGAAGCTTCTTTGTAGCACCCAGAGGTGAATGCAGAGGCACATCACTACAAAGTACTGAAAATAAGGGACAGTTGAGTACTCAGCTCTAAACAAGGTATTTATACCACAACTTCTAAGGCTTAGGGAACACCACAGAAGAGAGGACACAAAACATTCTAAGGGCCAGAAGAGAGGGAGAAGAGCTGTGAAATGTACCCTTCTTCTAGGTGTGACATAGTCACTACACTCATGAACAGCTATGGTTACCTGCAGGAGGCCTGCACAAGACTGGGACTATGAAGACTACCAACAGAGAGGCATGGGAACCCTACCCCCTCTGATGAATGACTGGCTTCTCATAGATTCTGGGAGACAAGTCATTGTCATCAGTTGTGTACAAAATGGTGAGCCCACCAAGCTCCAATGGAGAGTTCCAAACCCATGGCCACACAGATGGCCTTGGTTAAACTCAGTGGGTCACACAACAAAACAAAAAGACATGAAAGAAAGGGATTTGTAGGGAGTAGGGGAGAATTCTGTAGGTGGGAGATGAGGCAGTGGGGGTTGTAATCAAAATGCATTATATGCATGTGTAAAATATCAAAGAACAAATCCTAAAATTTTAAAATGAATAGAATTATATATGAAAAAATACCGTGTTTCTAAGTCTTCCTAATTACCATTTTTAAAGGTTCCAGCAAATTAGCTTAGCATATTATTACTAATCAATTTTATTTGGTTTTTTGTTTTGTATTTTGGTCTTTTCAAGACAGGATCTCTCTGTAGCCTCAGCTATCAAGCTTATTTGTTGATATATAGGTTGGGTTTTTTTCCCCCCTGGATCCTTTCATTCACATTTAGTTTTTCTATGGTTGCTTAATGCTATAGACTAAATTATGTCCCCTAAAATAAATACACTGAGACCCTAACCTCCAATGAATTTGGAGAAAGGGATTTGGGGAGGCAATTATGGTTATATGAAGACAAAAGGGTAGAGTCTTAGCCTAATAAGGCTACTGAGGCCATAAGAGAAAGACTTTCTTGCTCCGGAGGAAAGGTCATTTGAAGAGGTTGAAGGCACCTGATCACAAACCAGCATGAGTCTTCATCAGGATCTGCATCCAAGCTACTGCTTTGACATTGATTTGATACAAACTCTACAGAAGTTTCTGCTGTTTAAGTCACTCAGTTTACAGTATTTTGCTTTGGCAGCCCAACCTAACTAATATGCTTCATATTCACGTAGTGTCATTTTGGGTTTATATAATTGCCTATGAAGGAGATGCCACCCTGGTCCAACCAGTATAGGGCCTCACACAAAACAGGCAAGCTTTCTACCGCTGAGCTGCATGGCCAAACCTTAAGATGCCTTTCAAGAGGTCAGCATCGGTTATAAACATTTAATTCTACAGTTTTAATACTTGGTTTGCTTTTTGTCTTCATAAATCCTTTCCTGGCTACTACTCTGTCATCCAAATCATCATTTCACATAATCACTGATTTAACACATATTTACTGGGTACCTATTCTACTTCAGGCATTGATCTGGTAACTTAAGGTACAAGAGTGAACCAAAGATTCCTCCATGTTTACATTCTAGCAAAAGGAAACCACAAAATTATGAGTGATAAACAGAGTATATGTTAGAAGGTGGTAAGCAGCATGGAAAAACAGAAACCAGGGAAGGGATCAGCAGTACGTGTCTAAACAGAGGCAGGGAAAGGATGCAGCAGGATTCTCCACAGTCAAGGCAGATAAAACTAGAAAGGTGAGAGCTAATCAAATCCTTGAAAGCTACAAGTTACTTAAAAGAACAAAAGAATAACTAGAGCAATGGTATAAATCTGATCATGTATGCTGTGAGCTAGAAAATGGCTGAAATGCTGTGTGGCTGAAATGGAGCCAGAAGAGTATAAACAAGGTCAGAGATAGCAGAGGACAGGAGCTGCAGGTGTTCTTATAGATATCACCTGGACAAACCTTTACTCTGTCCCTATCACTGAAATTACTTGGTTTCCATTTTTAGTTCTTTGGAGACAGTGTCTCCCTGTAGCCCCTGCTAGCCTGGAACTGGATCTCAGAGATCCTCCTGCAGACTAGGCTGGGCTTGATCTCAGAGATCCTCCTGCTTCTGCTTCCCAAGTGTCGGGATCAAAGGTATGCACCACCACAGTCAGTCCTCAATTTTTTTGCTGGTAATAATAAAACTATAAAGGGCATGTTTTTCCATACAAATTTTCCATGCTTGAGTTCTTCCTCTGTGGGAAATACATGCTGAGATTAGGATATTGGGGCTCTATGGCTCAGACAGAAGTATTTGTCAATATGAGTAAATAATAGAGCCAGAACTTACAAGCAAATCTCTCTGGTATCTTAAAATTGCAAACTCTGGGGCTGGAGAGATAGCTCAGCAGATAAGGGCACTGGCTGGTCTTACAGAAGACCTAGGTTTGAATCCTAACACCCATATGGTGGCTAACAACTGCCCCTAGCTCCAGTTCCAAGGGACCTGAGACCTTCTTTTGTCCTCCTCTGGCATTGCTCAGCATGCGTGCACTTACATACATGCAGGCACAAGACTCATATGCATAAAAAAATAAATAATACTAAAATTGTATACTCCATATTATGCTAAGGAAATTTTTGGAATATTTCTAAGGAAAATACACTAAGAAACAGGACAGAGAAAGAAATGCCCAAAGAATAAAAACTTTCAAGCCGGGTGTGGTGGCGCAGGCCTTTAATCCCAGCACTCTGGAGGCAGAGGCAGGCAGATCTCTGCGAGTTCAAGGCCAGCCTCGGCTACAGAGTGAGTTCCAGGCCAGCTGGGGCTACATGGAGATAAGAAAAATAAAATAAAATAAAGAATTTCTAGGTCAGTTCAAGTTGCATAAGGGGACATGCAAAGGACAGATGTCAAAACATTTGCTTGGCAATAAGTTCACTGGAACATCTATTTGTAGTTTTCAGATGTCTGTACTGAATAAATAACCTTCAAACTTTGTGCCACCACAACCAAGTGAGCTCTAATCATTTTGTAAACTTCATTTACACACACACAAAGAAAAGTGAAAAAGAAATGTCCCTCAGCACATTCAGCTTCTGAGAACTAGATGTAAGTTCTCAGGTCTCACTCCAAGCCTCACTCCGGAACTGCTGACTCAGACTCTGTCTTTCAAATGCAGTTTCATGTACACATAAAACTTTAAGAAAATAAAACAATAAATAGTTCCTGACTCACTGTCCCTTGGTCTTCCTTTTTCTAAGATTCCCCTTGTGAGAACAGCCTTCTTCCCATACTTCAGCTCAAATCACTAGCTGGCCTTTGAGGTTCCTCATTTTAAGAGCACAAAGACCTGGTAACAAAAGGTGGACGGTCACTGCCTTGGGTTATTCTAGAGAACTTGGAAAAGAATCGGTACCCTAAAGGCCCCAGAACTTTTCCAAGGCTCCGCAGAATGGGTAAGCTTAACAAACACCTTATTGTGCTTCCCCACAATGTGGTAATTAGCGCATGTACGTATCCTGACACCCTAATTAATGAATCCTTGAGCTTCCAGTTTGCTTATCCAGTGAATAGATGTCAGAGGACAGTGAAACTTTTGATCTTAGCATAAACACCACCTTAATAATCACTAACACTCTTAGAAGCTTCCCAATAATCCGTCAGCTAATAAATTCACAGCCAATTTATCTGATGGGGCCCTCGCCTGGACCTACAAAGTAGGGAGTGTGTCTTCCGGTCCCCGCCTGTGCCTCAGACAGGCAGTGTGAAGTTCACAGTCAGGTGGCAGTCCTGACCTCAGTTCCAACTGGGCAAAAGGTCGCTGAGCGTCCAGGCCGCAGGGGTGACCGTCCCCGCCGCCGCCTCGGGTAACTCTGCGAAAGGCTGCGGCCGGGGCCCGCTGAGCCTGGGCCCGGGAGCCGGCATTCGGAGAAATCGCTCCTTTGGGGGTGAGGCGGCCTGCGACGGAGGCAGGGCGGCTGACACCCCGAGTTCTCCGAGAGTTGCGCGGAGCAGGCCCCATCCCTTCCCCGGGCCTCGCACCCCAGGATAGCCGGGCACTCACCTGGCAGCGGGCGGCGGGACCGGGGCAACGCGGGCGCCCAGGATGCGCAGGGAGCGACGGAGGAGGCGCGCAGCCATGGCCAGACGCGGGGGACCGCAGGACCGAGAGGGGCGGCGGGACTCAGCTGCAGGAGGCGCTCGGGCGGTGGGCGGACCCTCAGCCAACGTCCCGGAAAGCCCTGCGGGCCTGAGGGCGGTGCCGCTGCTCTGCGCCCAGCGGCGGGAGCAGCTCGGGTCCGCCCTCCCTCCCCCTCTCCCTCCCTCCCCCCCTCCCCGCTGTCCTCCCTCCCCCGCCACCCCCCAGCTTTCCTGTTCCTTGAAAGTTATGGAGAAGAACACACGGCCCCCAAAATGCACATGCATATTTTCTAACACTGGAAGGGGAGGTTCTCTCCACACAGTTACATGAATACTGCCTTTAAAGGATTGTGCCGCAGGTGGGGGTTCCTTACAAAAGTTTTAGGCTACTCTGAAAAACTATATTTGATACTCAGCAGTTGGTTCAATTCTCTAGTAGTACTGGAGCTTCTATATGGCCATTTTCCTTTCTATTCAAGTACTAATGGTGTGTGGTCACTTTGCTGTTGCTTATTGGTTTTAATTAATTTTAAACGAAATCTATGGCATTGAGGTTTGAATTTGAAAATTTTTGAACTCTAAAGAATCTGCAGGGTGAATTTCTAAGGAGGCGAAGTAAGACATGGAGGATTTTCTAGTGGTTAAGGAGGAGGAGGATAGTTACCGTGACTCTGAAAGAGTGCAAATGAGTGGGACATGGTGATGTACTCCTTTAGTCCCAGCACTTGGGAGGCAGAGGCAGGCAGATTGTTGAGTTCAAGGCCAGCCTGGTCTACATAGTAAGTTCCAGGCCAACTGGGGATACCTGGAGACCCTGATTTAAAAAGGCCAAAAAAAAAAAAAAATTCATTGTTTTTGAAGACTTTCACGGTTCCACAAACAAAACCCAAATGATCAATTGTACCTAAGAAATATGGGAAAGCTTGGGAATAAGTGCTGTCTGAGATGAACAGCAGCAGAGCTCAGTATGACACCGTGATTCGTAGTGAAGGGCTGGGCCCACAGGGGTCATTGTGGATGAGAGATGCTAAGAAATGTGCTGTGATTCTAACTCAGAAATGCCCCCAGGCTTGGCTGTAGCTTGAGTCAGTAAGCCAGGTGACCAAAGCATTATGCTCATGCCCCACTGGCCAGGATAGATCCCACTGCAGGTTAGAAGGTAGTTGCTCCTGACCATGTGAAGCACAGGAAGTTACTTATTTAACCTCCATCTTTTTTTTTTTTTTTAATCTTTTTTTTTAGGCAGGTTCTTCCTGTAGCCCCAGCTGGCCTTGATCTCACAGAGATCTGCCTGCCTTTGCCTCCCAAGTGCTGGAATTAAAGGCATTTAAAGGCATGTGCCACCATGCCCATTGGTATGGTCATTTTTAATAATGATCTTTTACAATCAAATAGTCACAAATTATGTGTCCCTACCCCCATTCAGTTAATTGACTCCCATTGTGTCAAGTAAAGTGCTGCTGAGGTGAGGTAGAGCTGTGGAGGACTGATCTGGGACTATCAGGCTTTAATGATGCTCCTCAAAGCTAATTATGTTGGTGGCCTTGTGAAAACATGAGTTGGTTTGAATCCTCGCCCCACTTATGTGAATGATGAATTTTCAGTATTGCTGTTTGGCTTATAATCTTGTATTTTGAAGTTTTATCTCTTCTTAAATATGCTCTTGTCACTTTTCTCCAAAAATCAAATGAGCTTAATAGCCAATATTGCATTCAAATCACTTTTATCTTATTATTTAGAAAAAATTTCACACATGAAAAGTTGCAAATATAGTAAACTACCTACATGCTACCTACATACACAGAGACTCTTCTCAACCATTGGAGAATCAATTGTGAATATCATGCTTCCCCCCTAACATCATTTCCTAAGAACAAAGGAATTATCTGAATAATCATAATACTTATTGAGTATAGACTGAGGTAATATTGTTTAATTTAAAACTGAAGTAATATTGTTAAATAATTTAGAACCCATTTTCCAAGTTGAACAAATATCCTATCCTTTTAATACAATGAACTTTAATACAGAATCGCATTCAGGCTTTTTGTGTCCTTTGAGGTACAGGGGATGGAACCTGTACAGGGACAGAGCTACAGGTTTCTCATTGGAATAGCCTACCTGGGATATTTTTACCAAGTCTCTGAGTATCAGTTAACTTGGTGCAATATCTTTTGCCTTTCTTGTTTCCTGTTGATGTTTTGTTTTGTCTTCAATTTCATTTTCTTTTTGCCTTCCTGTATCTTCATTTTGTAGAAGTAACTTAATTTGGTTTTAGTTTTTTCAAGTTTCCTAGCAGTAGAATTAATGTATAAATTCTGATGTTTGGTTCAATTCTTAACCAATATTAATAGGAAACACATTTGGTAAAGATCTGGTTCATCAAGTTTCTGCAGCATAAAGTGACTTGTTTCCTTTTTCGTAATATAAACTAGTAACCAGGCTAGGTGTGGTGACACACACCTTTAACCCCAGCATTCCAGAGATGGAGACAGGTGATCTCTGTGAGTTGAAAGTCAGCCTGGTCTACCTAGTGAGTTCCAGGCCAGCTAGGACTACTCAATTAGATCCAAGTATCTCTCTCTCTCTCTCTCTCTCTCTCTCTCTCTCTCTCTCTCTCGTATCTATGTATGTGTGTTTTGCTGAGGACCAAATTCAGGCCTTGCCTATACATGTAACAAATCAGCTTCTAAATGTAGAATCAGTTGTGCTAAAATGTTATGAAAGGTTAAACAAATATCCAGGATTTCATGAACCCTTTGAGCCATTTATATTTCCTTTGTACTAATATAGCACGTGTTCACTTGAGAGTTCTACAGGCCATACCTTTTCTACAAGGAATGCCTTTTTAGAAACTTCGGCACTCAAGCAGTCCTCTAGGCTTCTGAGTAAGTAGGACTACTGACATTTGCCACCATACACTAGTAAGGGCATGCTTGAATTAATTGAAATGTTAACAGCCAGTCATACATCAATGGATATACCCAAATTTGGACCTTTAAGAGATAAACAAGAGCAACCAAAAAAAAAAAAAGAGAGAGAGAGAGAGAGATAAGCAACAGGGGCTGGAGAGATGGCTCAGTGGTTAAGAGCACTGGCTGCTCTTGCACAGGACCCTGGTTTGATTTGCAGCACCTACAAGGATGTTAACAACCATCTGTAATTCCAGTTCCAGGGGATCTGACGCCCTCTTCTGACCTTCAAGACCATTGCGTGACATGGTTGCACTTGCATACATTCAGGTAATATACTCATATACATAAAGTAAAAATAATAGATAAAATATATTTTAAAATAGATTTAAAAAAAAGAGATAACAGGAAAAAAAAAGGACCAGTACACTAGAAGTGAGTGTTGTGAATATAACAGGATTAGGATAACTTATCAGAAAGAAGCAAGGAAGGAATGGGTAGAGGGAAGACAATTAGGGAACCAGTCCAACTGGAAGGTGTATGTTGAGAAATCCAGTTCAGTAGATAAGGAATCCTGGACAAGACCGGGCAGAGGATGAAGTGCACAGACATGCCTATGAGATCACTTGGATTTGAAGCATTTAGTTGTCACTGTGGAGACCAAGTGTATTGGTACCCGCAAAGAACCAAGCACACGGGTTTGCTACAGTTGTCAGCAGCCAATGATTGGTGGTCAATATTTTCTGAGTACTAAATATCAAACCAAGGAATTTAGACCTAACATGAGAGGAATAAAAAGTCCGTATGGCTGGGGGAGTACAAAATTAATGCATTAATTCATTCTCTTCTTCCATAAACATTCAGTTCCTTCTATCCATGAGAGTATAACCTTATATATGACAAAATTCCTGCTTTTACAGGACTAGTCATACACTATGTAAATAGAACTAGCATAAAAATGTAAGACAGAGTGTGATAAAAGAGGAGAAAGGTGATGGCATAAAACATGGAGCTGGCACACTGGGTGATCTTGGCTCGCTCTTTTCCCACTTTATTTGAGGCATAGTAGAAAGCAAATGGGGAAGAACACCCATCAGACCTAGGTCTGTTGCAGGACAGAGGTCACAAAAAATCACCAACACCAATTCAGTAGAAAGTAGCAAGGTGATATTTTATTACCAGTGGTGGACTGTCTATCTCCAGAGCAGAAGCAGCTCCTGAACATTAACCATTTAGAGTTTTTATAGGATTACAGAAAGCATAGTTTAAACAGAAAATCTGTGAGTCAATCAGGTTTGTACAACATAGCAAAATTTGAATTCACCAATCAATAGTCTGTTACTGCGTGGGCAAGTGAGGCAAGTGTACAACTCGGCAATTTTTAAAATTAGTCAACTACCTAGGCATAACAAGCATTGTAACAGAAGTCAAAATCAGCAGTAAGCAGATGGTCACTGAATAACAGGGTGGTCTCATACTACATGTCAAGGTGACCTGAAATAGCAAGCAAGTTAGCTAGATGCAGGATGTCCCAGAGCAACATAGTTCACAGTTTTGTGGTTAGGCCATTTTCTCAGGACTCAAGGTTGTCCCCTTTCTGGGTATTTCCCATAAATGGAACAGAAGTCACTGTTGAAATAGCCACCCTGGGCAAAATGGAGTAACTTGGGTCAGGTTGCTAATATAGTTCAGGTCAAGGTTGAAAATCTCCCCTGGGAGTTCCTTAACCTCTCTGTGTCTGTTTCCTTATTTGTAGCATGGAGATATTAATAGTATCTATCTCATAGCCTTGTTGTGAGGCTAAAACAAGACAAACTATGTGAAGCATCCAGTCTGGAGGCAGTAGGAGCCCAGCACACAGCAACATCCTGTTTCCTTACCCTAAATCTAAGGGGAGGCTATAATCTGCCCAAGTTGCCAAAGAAACAGATAAAACTCAGAGAACACGACCCTTCCTTCTGATATAGTTGCCTATCATTTACTTGAAAAGTGTTTGTGGCAGATAATCCTTATAGTTTTTAATGGTGTAGGCTACAATTTTTTTTTGACAAGGCCTAACTATTAGCCCTAACTAGCCTGGAACTCTGTAGACCAGGCTGGCCTGGAACTCACAGAGATCTATCTGCCTGCCTCTGCCTCCCAAGTGCTGGGATTAAAGGCATCTTTCACTGTACCCAGACTCCCAAAATTTTATTTTTAATTATGTATGTGTGTGTCTGTGTCTGAGTGTGGGTTTGTGCATGTGAATGCAGGTGCCCACAGAGGACTTACAGGTGATTGTGAGCCACCTGACCTAGGGACCAAACTCAGGTCCTTTACAAGAGCAGCAAGTGCTCTTAACCACTGGGCCCATCCCTTCTGTCCCCCCGCCCCCCAGAAATTTTGGTGGACAGTTTAGGTAGTCCTGTACTGTTTCCAGACCCCAAGGGTGAACGTGGAATACCAGTATTAAGTTTCAGCCTCTACCAGCACTTGGGAGGCAGATGCAGGTGGATCTCTGTGATTTCTAGGCCAGCTTAGTCTATATAGCAAGTTACAGGTCAATAAAGGCTACATAGTGAGACTTGTCTCAAAACAAACAAAAACAGAGAAAAAAACCCAAAGCTCCCTTTATTCATACTATTTAGGAAAACTGTGGCCTTGGTATCTTTGACCTAGAGTTCATAACACAAGGGATTTTTAAAGCTAATATCAAAATAGATTAAAGTACAAAGAATTTCATTTGTCAAGAGTCTCAAGTGATAATTCTGGCTAAATGTCCAGATCTTGTATAAGCAACTGCTGACCTTTTTCAGCCCTTTTTCAGGGACAAGAACATTCCTCAGGGGGCAGCATAAAACTCTGGGCCATGAAGAGATAGAAGGGTTGTCCAAATACTTGGACGCTTTCAAAGTCAGTTAGCTTCGAAAATGAGTAAAACAATATCACTATCTGAGAGGCCCATGTCAGGAAGCAGAAATCTTAGGAAGTTAAGAGATTATCTATTTAAAAGACAAGTGAAGAAAGATGTGGCAGGGCAGGGCTCAGCTGGAATTGTTTATAGGTCTGTCTGAAAACTAGTTTACCTAAATTTTTGGAGGCCACTTGATGTATAGGTTGATTGGAACAGGCTAGCTAGTAGGAGGCATGGACGTAGTAGGTATAGCATAAATTATTTAAACCTCACACACTCATTTGGAATTGAAGAGTAACAGCATCTATATCATGGGATTTGAGGAAGATTTTTCAGTTAATGGAGGTCAAGTGGTTAGCATAGTGACAGAATTACAATAAACAATAAATGTCAATATTGTCATCAATTAGAATACCTATATTTTGCAGGACAGAGAAAAAAAGCAGAGCAAACTCTAAGGAGAAAAAGAAAACACCTTAAAAAAATTTGAGTTGTTATAAAAAAACAGGTAAATATCCGTAGACCTTCAGTCTAAATAAAAAATACCTCTGTAGCTAATTAAGCAGACCAGGTTCCTTTCTTCATTGGGCCTGGTGTGCAATGGCTGCAAACAGCAGTCTCTTTGGTAATGTGGACAGCCTGTTTATCTGAGCTGCCCCAAGGGACCTGGGAGTGTCTTTGGGAAGCCCCAGGGCAGAGTGGCTACAGTTAGCCTTGGCCAGGTCATCATGTATATACACACCAAGCTGTAGAGCAAGGAGGCCCTGAGCAAATTTTCTGGCTGCCAGAAGATCAATGTTTTCTTTATTTTTACTTTATGTGTGTTTTACCTGTGTATAAGTGCGCCATATGCATGCAATGCCTGCAGAGGCCAGAGAGCGTGCCAGATCCCTTGGAACTGGAGTTACAAATGGTCGTTAGCTGCTATGTGGGTACTGGGAACCAAACAACCTAGATCCTCTGGAAGAGCAGTCAGTGCTCCTAACATCTGAACCATCTCTTCACACCCCTCACTTCCCCACCCACCCCTGCAGAACGATTTTAATGTAAATGAATTTGAAGACAGGGTGACTGGGAAGTGGTTCATCCCCAGTGACTGTGATGACAAATGTATCTCCATCTATGGTCCTCCACAAGTGATGGGTGGTGCACTTCTGTGGGTTTCCACTGTGCAGCCCCATTCCCTATAATGTTTACTACTACATCTTGCATCATATATATAAAACCCTCCAAAACCAAAAATTGAACATAAACCAAACAAATATAAAACTTTTTAACCTCTTAGAGCATCTGGGGGGAAAATAACTCTCTATTTCTGACTCTTACAGTGGTCATTTGAGATTACAGCAAGATAGATCATCCTATACACTTAACCCCATTTAGTGTATATTCCATGTCCTCTTCCTTTTGAGGGTGTTTGAGGAAAGAGACTGTTAGGGTTCCAAACAGCAGCAGTTTCCCCCCTCCCCAACAGGGACCTCACCTTGACCTTTGAAGTCAAGGGAAACAAACTCTGCTGAGAAGCAGCCTGCCTTTCCTCTGATCTCCAAAGATAGGATAAGCAGATTCTACCTGATAACCAGAGATTTTAGAAGCTGTTTTTCTCTCATCTTAAGAGGGAAAAAGTAAACACTTCCAGACCCTAATCCCACCTGGCAGACTGAACAGAGCCAGGCTTTTCCTGCTTCCCCCTCCCCGATTTCTCCCCCCAACATTCCCCCCCTC